GAATCATCATTTCAGTCATTCACAAACTTAATCATGTCATTTCTAAATATTGACTAACCACTGCTTCCCCCACTCACCTAAAAGTGTTGATCACAGGACGAAACTTAAATCCCTAAACTTACCTTAGTCAAATACCACTGATGCTTGCTAACTATAATGGTGAATCACTGATTGCCAACCTTTGTCCTTCTGCCCAATCAACCAGAACTAGGAACACTCGCCCTTCAAATAGAATAGCCTTCCATTTCAAACTCCTCTCTCTCTTACACCACACTATTTTTGGCATCATCAACTCTCTAACTTGCCATGTTTTTAGAGCAATAATAGGGATGGTGGAAGGGAGAAACCAGGAAGCACGACTGGGTCAATTCGTGCCTCTCTCTCTTTGCTTTCAAACTCTATCAGAAGGACTTTTTTGTAATTGAACAACATTTCCACCCCCAGGTAACACTTCCTAATTTGTCATTTCATTTGTTTAGCTTCCTATTTTAGCATATAAGATTTTCAGTTTCTTGTTATGTTATTTTCCCTCTTTTTTTTTTTTTCCTCTCGCGATATTATTAAACTGAAAAATAGTTTTTGTCTTGTTTTTACATTCTCTCCAATATTTTCATGTTTCAGAGATGTTTTGATAATATTAGAGGGGAGTCTTGTTTGAATTAAACTTAAATTAACGAGATAAAAAATCATGGTATTTTGTTTAAATGAAAAGTTAACTATATTTTTTATTTTCAAAGTAGAAGGATAATTATTTAAAATAAAATTATTGACAATTTTTATATGGAAGTGTTATTCATGGTTCAGAGTACTGGTCTATATGGTTCATCAGAAAAAAATTTAACGGAACATAATGGAATTTTTCTTTTGTTTGTTGTTTTTTTTTTTTGGTTTTTTGGGGGGTTGTTGATAATACATGGACAAGGGTATTTGTATTCGGTTTTAAATTACTTTCTTTTATTTTTAATGTTTAATACTTTCTCCAATCCTATATATAAGTTTCAAATAACCGAATTATGTTTAACAAACTAACAACTAAATTAGTTAAAAATAATAAATAGGTCAGAAATATTTTTTTTTAAATTTGTCCTTGTTTATTAAAAAGTAAATGAGAGAGACAATAAAAAAAAATGAAGAACAAGAATATATGGAAATAATATCAATGAAAAGGAAGGAATAATAAATACTGTGGACAAAATGAAAAAAAAAAGGTAATAAATATTCAAATCTTTTCAAAAGTAAAGCTTATGTATAGTAGCGGAGGGAGTATATATTATAATTGTGAATTATGAATTTTTAAATAGATATTCCCCACGCATATGGGTAAATAAATGAAGTTTTCTTTTTTACTCTTATTTATCGTTTATCGTTATTCGGTTTTAAATTATTTTCTTTTATTTTTAGTGTTTAATATATATTATAATTCTGAATTTTTCAATCTATATTCCCCACGCATATGGGTAACCGAAGTTTTCTTTTAAATCTTCATTATAATATTTATTGCCTTTTTTATTATTGATAGAAGTTTTTTATTTATATACAGAAAGAAGATGATGAATATTCATATTATTTACTCTTGAAATTAAATTAAGTGATAGCCATAATTTTCTAGACTGACCTTAGGGTTGAAAAGAGAGGAACAAAAATAAAAATAAGGTTGGGAACGAGAAAAATATTAATTTTGCATGAATAATAATAATAATTTTAATGAAAATTATTATTATACCATATTTTATCACTAACACATTTTTCATAAATATAATTAAAATATGTTTAAAATGGAATTAAAATATAATTTTAATTTTAATCTTAGTTTATAATTATTTGAGAAAAAAATTTAAGAAAATATCACTTGAATTTCAAAATTTAAAATCTGAAAATTTTACGAAAATGTGTTGTCATTTGCTTTTCATATAGTCATATTATTATCACTTTTGTTAGAGTAATTAACTGCTATTGAAGTGTAAGAAACAAAATTAGGACTTTGAAATTCAAATAGTATCTTTTATAATTTATCCTGATTATTTCATCCAATTTTAATTTTCATTCTTAGAATAATTTTTTGAAAAACTCCCACAAAAAGAATCTGAAAATAAAAATTATTAAATTCCTCAAGATTGTTTCATACATTTTAATAAATTGACTTTACTTTACTTACAAATAATAATACATTTTTATAAGAATTATTATTAATTTAGAATTTAGTAATTTCTAAATTTTTATGAGATTTTTCCTAATTTTATATAATTATTTTAAAAATTACTTACAGGGACTCATTTATAAAATTGTTATCAAAATCTATACTATAATTGTCAAAACGCATACTAATGGTGTCATATGTCCTTATTTGCTATTTTTCTATTTCAGCGGTTTTTTCTTATGATTTTTCCTAATAAAATTGATTGATGGCTAAATAAGAAAATATCAATATTGTGTTTAAATTGATACTAAGCATTTAAATTTTTATGATTACATTCGATTAGTGTTTCCCAAAGAATTGTAGCCGTTAGGCCGTTACATTTTTCAGACATTAACAACTGTTCTGTCACAAGTAACACCAAAATTACTGAAGTGGACAGCTGTAACCTGTAAATTATTAGTTTTAAAGTTTTCTTGTTTATTGTGACTGGTTTAATTTAAATTTTTTCTTATTTTTGGGATTACAATTAATTTATATTTTCCAAAAAATTAGAGCCGTTGCCTCAATCAATCATAAATTTATTACATTTTTTTAAAAAGTAACAGCTGTTATAAATTGTTGGCCAAAAAAAAAAAAACAACTGTTATAAATTACAACTGCACATTAATCAAATTATAATTAAATTAGTTGGCAAAAAACTACTACTTCCGTTCTTAATATAAGACATTGTTTAACTTTTATTTTGATTATAAATATAAAACCTCAATCCACTTTATTTCTTATATTTATGTATTTTTTCTCAAAGTAATCCTTCTAACAATGGTACTTTTAGCCAATACACTTGATTAGTAAGGATATTTTAGGAAAGATAACACATATTTGTTACAAATGACTAATTTAACTTTTTTTTTAATCTCATCAAATTAGTCAACTAGTTTTTATAATCAAGACCGAAGGTAGTATATTACTGCTGGTCAAAAAAACAAATTATATTACATTGAAAGGGACAGCTCGGAGGTTAAAAAAATACAGCTATTGCAAAATTATGAACTTTAAAGTTTCCTTTTTTAAAAAAAAAAAATTGTGACCTAATTTAAATTTTTATTTAAAAATTAACAGCCGTTCTGTTACGAGTTACCCCGAAATTACTCAATCGACAGCTGTAAATTATTATTATTAGTTTTAGAGAAAATTATAGCCGGTGCCTCAATCAATCGTCAATTTATTGCATTTTCTAAAAAGCAACAGCTATTATAAATTACAACTGTACATTGATCAAATTACAATTACATTACTTGGCAAAAAATCAAATTACTGAAATGGACAGCTGTCAGTTTTAAAAAAAGACAGCTGTTGCAAATTATTAACTTTTAAGGTTCCTTAATGCCAAAAAAAAAAACTTAAAAGTTTCTTCTTTTTTTTTTTTAATTGTGACTGGTCTAATTTAAATTTTTCTGATTACAATCAATTTATATTTTTTAAAAAAATTACAGCGGTTAACCTCAAACAATCAATTTACGTTCTGAAGAAAAATAACAGCTGTCTTTTTCAATGTAATTTTTTTAAAAAATATAAATTGATTGTAATCAGAAAAATTTAAATTAGACTCTTTAAAGTTAATAATTTGCAACAGCTGTAGTACTCGTTTTAAAGTTTTTTTCCTTACTTTTTTTTTCATTGTGACTGATTTAATTAACGTTAACAGGTTAAATTTTCGAGCGAAAAAAAAAAACCAGTATATATAAGAACCCCAAGGAGCTGTAAGAGCATGCACTCCCTTTCGGCTCTGGTCGACCGCCAGAGTCACTGAATTTGTCTTCGGTGGAGTCGTTTGCTCCTTTACTTGAAAAGACCAGAGTCCCGCAACCATCACTGCAAAAGTACGCCGTGATTTCAACATTTTCGAAGTTGCGATCAGCACCAAAGTATCTGGACCTTCAATCGGAACCCGGAAGAGATGCCATTGCTCAGTGCCTCAACTGCTCCTCCCCTGCCGCTTTAGATCAATCCATTCGTGAGCTGTTGTGACAGACTCCGTAGTGGGTATTTCTCGCGTGTTGCTCGAACTTCAATCCGCCCTTGAAGGAACCGACCCGAAGTTCGTCGCGGCTTTCGTAAACGATTGGGCTTTCTTTTCCGCCTTGGTTTTCAGAAGAACAATGCCTCGTGGCGGTTCAATTCCAGGAATTATAATTTCAAGACTTTTACAGCATCTGTGTATCAGGTTATGTGTCTGCTATGTAAAATATATTTCCTCTGCTTCCAATGTGATATTAACCTTTCTTCTCTGGTGAATTGGAAAGTATGGTGTTTCATTATCTTTAATTGGATGTATCAAACTGCTTTATTCTCAAATACTTACAGTTTGCTAACTCAGTGATGTGTTACCGGAAAATGGTCGTCAAAATGGTGAAAATCACTGCTGTTTGCACCCATGGATTTAAATAGTTTAGAAATCTTTTTGCTGTTTCGGGACAGAGTATATTTATCGGGAATTTTCCTTCTGCTCATGACTTTGGGTTTCTCAAGTAATGAAGGCATGATAATGTATGGTAAACAAAATTGGGTTTCTCAAGTAAGAAGGTTCTGTTTACCACCCTCCGTCGTTCTCAGGAAGTATTTTTGACCGATGTATTATTAAGATAAGGGGAATAATTTTTGGCTTAACATGTTAAAAATGTCAGGGATGGATGTTATTGTCAATGTCTGCGCTTTCTTAATCAGCGCTGTTGTTGCCAATCGTATCAGCAATCGTTATAATTATAACCGACTTGGCTTAATACATCAATTTATTAATTTTATAATCTTTTGAGATATAACTATAAGCTTTCTATTCGCAGGGAAGATAAGTGAAACTAGGGAGTGCTTGGTGCTGTATTATTATGTCTGGCTTTCACTCCTGAAAAAGTGAATGAACAGGGTGACAGAAAGGAAGATCTTAAAAAAATTGATCTATTCTCTTGGTTATAAGTATAGTTTTAAGTACACATGATATGCGGATGTCTTAAAATTGTTCAAGAACGAGGGAAACAATGTCTCTAATATAGTTTCGCACGAATCTCTATTATTCCCTTGCCATTTTGTTTTCCGCAAAACATGGGCAACTCAATCACAGGTACACCCATGGAATTTCAGTTTTCCCATTTTAGCTTCTAATGTATATTCCAAACTCCCCTTTTAGTGATTGCTGGTGTATTTCAGTCTGGGATTGAATTGCTTGGGCAAGTAATTCCTTGTAGCTAATTAAAAAATCTTTACACCAAACATCACCTTAATCTGATATTGCTGGCATTCGGGGAAGAGATCCCCATTCTGAGTATGTAAATGTACCTGTGGGAATGGCTGGTTCACTTTAGCTCTCAAGAAATATTTTGGTTGCACTTATGGCACTACAATCATGGAAATGCTTCATGCGACATTGGATGAGAACTCACATTCCTAAAGGTTTGACATTTTGGTTTGTAATTGTAAAGTATTATTTATCTGTTATTGTTTAGTTCTCTGCATGTACTGCATAATTGTGTGTCATATCTGATTCGGCTTGTTTTATTTATGCGCTTGCAGAGAATGACATCCGTAGCACATGAAGCTATTCCTAGATGTGCTGATAACACTGCATTGGCTGTTCGTGCTCTGTTTGGTAAGAACTTTTCCATAGATATAAGCTTCTTATGGATTCTGACTGTTGGCGTTGGGCAAATTTTCATGTCAAGCATGTGTAACAGACAAATCCAGGCCCTTTGCGGAATAATAGAACTAGTAACCTTGTTGGAGATGTGATGGCAAGTTGAGTAACTGAGTATAGCATCAATTTCTGCCAGAAAATGGGGGCTAAAATAGAGAAGCAAAGGTCGGAAGATTGCGCCCATCTGAATTTTTTTTTTTTTTTTTGTGAATAAAGTATTTATTCTTAATAGAAAGGTATCTTGTATGTGTGTGTATCAGTACATGTAGGTATGTATATTAATATATTGTTGGCCAAAAAAAGTATGTATATTAATATAATAAATCATAACACTGGTAAATAATCTGAAGTGAAATAAATAACCTAAGATAAATAAAAGTCAAATATAAATTTTTAAATTATAAATTGTATAAATAGAAATTTTAAATTGTAACTTTTACATTAAAATAAAATATTATAACAACCTTGCTTAGGGAGTAAAGCTTATCCTGTATTCATTTAAAAACGCATCTAATCGCCAGAAGCAATAAGAACGAGACTATTATGGTGATATTAGATAAAAATGGGAAGCAAAATATCTTCACTCGCGCTTTTATCTATTTTGTATCTAATGAGAGATATTTTCTTTAAAGGATGTCCCTAAGAATCCTTCACCGCCAGCGCCGATTGACGAGAACAGGGAGTTATGTCAGCTGGGGTGGTATCGACTTGCTGCCTCCTGTCTTGTTCAAAGCCTTCTTCTCAAGTTCATGGCTATGTGAATTTCCATAACTCCACGTCAAGGTACTCTTTTTTTAACAGGTTTTATAGTAGCCAACATCTACCCGGTTCCCTAAAGAACAACGACCCACTGTAAAGAATTGATCTTTGATCTAAATCTCTTTAAGAATAGTTACTGGCATGTTCAAAATATACGACATCTTAACCTCTTTCCGATGCTGTTTTGACGTAAAACCCTTTTGAAGATGGAGGCAGAACGGGACTGTAATCAAATGTTGTACTAGAAGGGCATCGGAAAAGCCAGGAGCTCAACAGAATTACTACGAGTTACTTGGAGTTTCTGTTGAGTCAAATGCCCAGGAGATCAAAGATGCGTATCGGAAGCTGCAAAAGAAATATCATCCAGATATCACTGGCCAACAGGTCCGTCCCCTTAATCTCCAATAACGTTTTACTCATTTTCCATAGTTTATTACAGCAAGACGTTGTCCTTGGTTGGAATTTGTTACTGCAATTCATTAGAGGCAGATTGAACTTGAGACAAGTTCAATTTTCAGGGTCATCAGTACACACTGTTGCTGAATAAGGCTTATGAAGTGTTGATGTCAGAGGATCAAAGAAGGAAGTACGATGAATCCATCGGTCAGATGAGACTGAGATTTGCGGAAAACAACTCTCCCTTGGGTTACAGTACATGGAAAGGGCCTTTGAGGCCACATGCCTTATTTGTAGACGAGAATGCATGTATAGGTCATCACTTATCACTATATTGTGAATACTTGAATAGCTTTTCAGAGTTCCATCCACTGCTGAAATATTTATAAAGCTGTTTGTTGCATCAGTCATGAGAAAGTTAAGGTTTAACTGTTTGTCTCCAGGATGTGGAGAGTGTGCGCATTTTGCAAGCAACACATTCACTATGGACGAAGCTCTTGGATCTGCGCGGGTAAAAGTCCAATACGGAGATGATGACCAAAGTATTGAGGTATACCAACTCTCACAAAAACTACCATCAACAATTGCATATTTCGTGTGATATTGGACAATTTTTAAGTAGACTCAGTTTATGAAGGTCAATTATGCAAAATACTGACCTAAATACGGTATCAACGTGTTACACCAAAGCCGGGATAAGATTTAGTGTTAATTGCTTATGAGTAATATTGCTTCGTGTGAAGCAAATACATGTATACGTTGATTGATTTTAAGAGTCTGCAATGACAATAAATTTTAGGTGTCGGTTGAGTCATGCCCAGTCAACTGCATCCACTGGGTGGACACAGAAGAGTTGCCAGTGCTAGAGTTCCTGATTCAGCCGCAACCGAAGAAAGGGTATGGTGTATTTGGAGGAGGTTGGGAAAGGCCTGCAAATGTCTTCAGTGCAGCTAAGGCTTTCAATAAACAGCTAAAGAGAAAGGAAGCAGCTGGCTATGGTCATAGCTCAGGCAGATAACCCTTTCTCTCGTTGCACCTGTAATGAAACTTTTTTACACGTGGTATTTATTCATGTGCTGATAAAGATTTTTGTTGCCTCAATGCAGGTGAAACGACTGTAGAGGAAAGCCCGGCACAAGCTCAAGCTCGAGCCCAAGCAAGTATGGAGATAAATATGGGGGTTTTCTTTAAACTATGGACGTGGTTGAAGGAAACATTTAGCATAAATGTTCCATAGAGATGAATTACCTTTGAGTCTCATGAGAGAAATGTGAAAAGTCTCGAACAGAAAATGGATGTAAATAACATAAAAGGAAATCTGGTGGCGATGTTGGTTATTATACAATCTCAACCACATAAGGACCCAACTTCTCTTTACACAGAATTCCCAGCTCCATTTCAAAAGCAATGGATGTGCACATGAGGAGGCTAGATTTGAGCCTTTGTAAACCATCAATTAAACATGCGAAAGTAAATTATGATTATTCAACCTATTAATTTTACTAAAAATCTGTGACACTGGCCGGACTGGACACATTAAACCTCAGCTCCAACAGCAGCAGCTAATGATAGAAGAATATGCCAACACTAACACGGCCTCCCTCAAAATCAAGACTACACAAAATTGCAATTGTTCAGTGCAATACATGTCTCAATTTATTTGTTCCCTCGACTTTCTGATTCATCTGCCTTCACGTCAAGAGCATCCCATACGAGTAAGTTTTCTAAATTAATATAGCCTGCATTTGCCAGTCCCAGCACATATTGAACACTCGTCTGCATCTCCAGCTACATGCCTTAAGCAATGCTTGATCCTATCATCTACAACATCCTGCAGCAGGACATCAAGTTTAAAGTTACAGACACAATGCAACACAGATCCGTTTTTAAGGGATATACCCTCTGCACTTTGAAATCCGAGTACCAAGGGTTCAAGTGGCCTCAGCGTGTGCCTAAATTTCGTTGAAGCTGCAGTCTAACACACAAGGGATCTTAATTCAAGTAGCCCTGTGATGAGAACCGGAAATGGGAGAGCCCCAGTGTTTTCTGAAGAGGTTATTACTAACTAGAAATAGAAAGAACCTGCCATATTACGTTCATGAACAGTGCATACAAATTTACCTTGACACATAACATTAAGAATTTTAAGGTCAACAAAAGTTGGCGGTTACATCCATCTAGGAGTGTTTCTCTCAGGTTAATCATTTTAATTTATCTCCGAAAGAAAACAGGTGGGGATAAATCAAAGAATGCTTACCACAAGTAACTGATGAAGTCCAAGGGGCGCTGTTATAATATATGACACACCTGGGTGATCCTTCGCTGCTTCTGCTGTTAAGGAAGGAATATCCTGTGAAATAAGGCAAAGTATATCAATCTTGTTACTTCCTTTCTTCTCCTTCTCCTTTTATGTTTTCTGGGGGGACCTCCTATTTATTGATAACACGATAAAAGCAGGACAGGGTTAACGCAGACCAACCTGGTGCCAATGCCGACCAGGGAAGAGGAAAAAAGGACTGACAATAATACGGCATGCGCCTTGCTGAATGCAAGATTCAAAGGCATCTGCTATTGATGGTTCTGCCAATTCCTGATAATGTATTAGAAGGATCAACATAAGTTTCATGGTTACAAGTGCTTCATAAAATGCATAAGACGCCAAGTGTGGGTCAGGGCACTAAGAAAGTAAGGATTTTCTATCAAAGTTATTGCATATAGCAACTGTAACCTATTCTTGAAGCATCCCATTCCTTGATAGGTGCAAGGAGTTTCATGACAGGACACCTATAAAGATAAACTTAGACTAACTCTTGCTCTTTCTAAGATTAAGAAATGATATAATGGGTTCTCCACAATATGAAGAAGAGATTCCCAAAGCTCGAGCTGAAATTAAAACATCAACTGTTATTCAACATTCTCGATCCTTCCTTCTCTTTTTTTTTTTTACCGTCTTTCTCGAATTAACATAAGAAAACAATAATAATAAATGACAGAAAACTACCATATGAGCAGGCTCCACAATCTCGTATCCACTTTTATGTTTAAACATCTCCACAAATTCATCTGACATTCAAATTATGACGAGATTTAGGCATCACATTAAAGCGTTTCCAAGAACATAACAGCCAATTTCGCAACACGTAAAGTTAAAACCTCGGATTTAAATGTCAGCGGTAGAATAACAGGGGCAGTAAACAGCACAGAAATTTAGAGACCATAATATACGCCTATGGTTTAGTCTTACGAAGCATCAAATTGGATTCTTTGCGACGCGACCCGTGATCCACAATAATCACTCCGTCCCCATCACCAACTCTTCCAGATGCTTCCCCAAAGCCTCTGTTTTGAGCGCTCAAGCACAAAAATCTGCCCATATTTCGAGTCTTTGAGGAACAAGTGAGCGAATTTGGGATTTTGAACGGGGCCCATTTAGCTGTTCTTCCGCTTTCCACAGGAGAAAACCTTTAATGACGAAGACCAATGGAAAATGAGATGATTCATTGCCAACGAGAAGGTCAAAGTGTTGATAGCGAAAATTTCAGATGGAGATAACGAGAATAACGAGAAGGTCAGTAAATTTGAAGGAACAAGTAAGAAGTACCTCGGGACTGTGGGGGAAGGAAGGCACAGAAGCTCGAGTGTCATCCTCCAAGCCTCAGGCAAGTTATATCCAAGAGAGAGATGGAGGGAAGAAAAGAAGAAACAAGAAAGCTAGAATTGCTGGTCGAAAAAAGAAAGCTAAAAGCGGCTCCTGCCCCCTGTCTTGCCCTTGGGCAGTTTCTACTTAACGCCCGTTAGGGGGAAGTGAGTTTCTTGGAAAGCTAATCCAAAAAATTGATTTTGGGCCTTCAGAATTGAATTGATTATTTGGATCTTCAATAATGATTCTATGTAGTTTATTCGTTGCATTGTTCATAACCACCTGGTTTCTCTAACCCATACAGCTGGGCATTATCGAAGATCCAAATAATCATTACAAACATAAGTTGGTAATGATTGCCCACCTGGTTTCTCTAACAATTTTTGTTTCCATGAATTCAAATGACTTCTTACTTATTTCCCATATTTATAGATGATTTTTATTTTAATTTAGTTAGTATATTATAAAAATGGTAATTCAACTGCTTTTGGTAATTTCATATATTTTTTACCTACGCAATATTTCATAAATTATTATTATTATTATTTTATTAAAGTATAGGTATTCTTTTATTGGAAACAATCCTATTCGAGGCATTGTCAGGCACTAAATGTGGGCACCTCTCCTAACGGGGATTCGAACCTTAGTTCGCCACGTTATGAGAAACTAGCCCTTTCTACTAGACTTAACTCCCGTTAGTCATAAATTATTATTTCTCCAAATAATCAAAGAACTTGAAAAGCAATTTTTGTTTTCTCTATATTTTCTTGATACCACATCCTATTATCGAACTCTGCAGATAACAAACTGGCTGATGACGACCTGGTCAACTGCGTGCATTATTATTAGTTCGATCACAATAAGCTAAATTAATGAGGTTTGACTACTGATTGAAAAAGTTTGTTTTTAAATTATTGAATTAATTTGAATCCCTGTCTCTCTTAAAGATCTCTGAAACGGCTGGTTAATGCAAGTCCATCGAGAGTTGTTGGGTGTATGTATGAAACGTTGAAGTTAGAATTAATATAGTTTATTTATTGAATAAATTATATATTCTTCAACAACTACTACCTCAAGTTAGGAACTTTTATTATCTTGTGTTTTCTGCCTTTCCTCAACATCACAAAATATATATTGTCAGAACACACATAACAAACGGCTGATGTAGTCAATTCTGAGCAATAATTTACAGCAAACAATAAGTTCTAAGTACTTTTACGACTTAGTACGCTGTTTAGTTGAATGAATTACGTACGTTTGTCGATAGAGTATTTGAATGTGTCTCCCATTCCAAGTTTGATAAGTTATTATCTCTGGAACAGTTCATGCTTGTCTCCGTCGACCGAAACTGGGTGAAAACCGAAGAAATGTATGACTTGGTTTTGTAGATTGGAAGCATTTCCAATCAACAAGTATTCCAGACCAATGGATGCTATTGAATTAATTAAAGCGCATGATACATCATAACCCAAGTAATCTCAAAATCACTTCTTATTCATCCAGTCTCCAAAGCATAATTTAATTAATGCCTTTGTTTCAGAAGAATATGTGCATAAAATACTACACATATGTGGGTGTTGTTTCAAACAATACTTCTGAAGAAGGGGACGAGAAATTATAGTCTGGAAATAGATGGTGCTAAATTCCGTCTTTATAATATAAAAGCTAGTATACTAATTTAAATATATTAAGAAATTTTGTTAAATTAGTTATTTATAATAAATAAATGTTGTTTTTATTAGAATACCCTTACTAAGCATGTGTGTTAGCAAGAACTACCATTTGATGGAACCTTTTACATGTACAATTACTATAAGAACTATTTTGGAAAGAAAATGTATAAATATGAGACATAAAGTGGATTGAAACTTTATATTTAAGATCAAATTAAAAGTTAAACTAGTTTTTATACTACAGAGCGGAGGGAGTATATTTTATCTCTTTTGTTCTTTCACTTTTTAACACGTGTTGGATAAGTAGGGGAAACTATAGACTAAAATTCACAAAATAATTAACACTTGTGAGAACATACTGCGAGTGTAGAAGTTCGATCAATATCGTGAAGGTAGAGAAGTATGATCAAAGCAAAGATGGATAAATAATCACCTCCGCTTTGTTTGATTTGTACCACACAGATAAAGTTTACCAAAATCAAAACTGAGGGATAATATTTGATAACAGATTATTTGTTCTCCTTTGATTTTCATAAATCAGAACCAACTGTCTATTGTAGTAGAGTTACTTTGGTACATAGAATTGGGCAGAAAAATGCCAGATCTTCTTCAGAAATTTATGTATATGGTCTGTAGAGATCAAAAGAACTTTATCCCTCAATGTTGCAATAGTAGCTTGGTTGCATTCGTTGATATATATTTTTAATTTCAACATATATGCGTGTATAAAGGCATAATTAACTTAATGTGCGCATATATCGCTTATTTTATTCAATCATGAAAAATAAGATACAAAGAACCATTACAAAAAACATTACAATGATAGGCAAACCCAGAAACAAATTAAATCATTTCAAACTCAGATGAATGATATTAATTTTCTATCTATAACTGTTTCTGAATAGCAGCAATTATGTTCTTATCCACTTGAAAAGCCTTGGTGAGGACTTCAGCAGAAATTGGAGGGTCTGATTTGAACACAGCATTCGCAATGGTGATGACTCCTGCATTCTGACTGCTCAAACCAGCAATGGCGACTGCATTTTCATGACCCACGTTGAGTTGGAAGTGAATTAAACCAATTGGGAACACAAACACGTCTCCCTTGTGCAGTACTTTCGTGAATAAGCGATTCTCTGGGTTGGACGTAACAAAACCCACCAGAAGAGTACCCTCCAAAACCACAAGAATCTCAGTGCCTCGAGGATGGGTGTGTGGAGGGTTTAAGCCTTTTGGGGCAAAGTCTATGCGAGCCAACGATATGCCCAAAGTATTGAGCCCTGGAATTTCGTTTACAGCAACTGGACTCACTGCTGAGCCGAGTGGACCAGATGTGTCTCCTTGTTTCAGTCCGCCGTAGAAGAAATCATTGGCAGAGACAAGCTTGGGATCTTTGCAGAACTTCCCATTCACAAAAACTGCATATAAAAATAAAGGAAAGATGATGTGTCATATGTCATAATGGAAATGGAGTTAGGAAAGCTGATAATTAATACGTACCACCACCAGTTTTGGTTTCGTTGATGGCAACGCAGAAGTCTTGAAGTGGGCTAGGATCAAAAGCAAAGACAGCAGAAAATGAGAGAGCCAAGAAGGCAATAAGGATCAGGCAACAAGCTTTCATGTTTTCTCTTTGATCTGATATAGCAAATCTTGGTTTTTTGTGTGGAATTTGCTGATTGTGAGGGATGAGATCGTTGCATGGCAGAGAGCTGTATTTATAAGCTGCAGGAGGAGGCGTTGATCTAGTCGATATTTTATTTGCACGAAGACGAACAAGACCTAGTCCGTTTTAATTTTTTAACGATGATTAATATTTTATTAGTGAAGTATCTTTACCAAATACCTGAAAATAGTTGGAATTTTTCTCTTCGCCTCAATTTCTTCTCCGAGTATAAATTGTGCCGCTTGTTAAGTGCTAAGGTTGTTGAAGAAACGTTCCAAATGTTAATACCGTAACGTAGGATGTTCCGAAGGGAAGACCATTTCATATTCACACATATTTGTCGGCCAAGTACCTCAATCGCTATAAATCTTTCTTTTTATCATTGAAAAGGAAAAAGAAGCCAAAGCCTACTAGCTTAAGGGCACAAACTGGTGACTATTTGCATTGCATATCAAAGGCTACTCGTGTAATTTTATCGTATACAAAATAAATATATAAAAGAATTTATTTCAATTTATAAAAAAAATATTTTTAAAAAGTACTTTTGACACCCTCTCAATAATAAACAAATAAATATTACTAAAGACAAATAAAAAAAGTAAATTATAATAAACAAATAAAAGTAAATATTATTAAACAGAAATAACCAAAAAAGAAAAAGTCATCGCTAGATACTTTTTTTAACTATCTTAAACTGAGTTGTTGGGTGTATATATATATGAAACGTTGAAGTTAGAATTAATCTAGTTTTTTCATTGAATGAATTATATTCTTCAACGGCTACAGCTTCAAGCAAGGAACTTTTATTGTCTTGTGTTTTCTGCCTTTTCTCAACATCACAAAATATATATTGTCAAAACACACGTAACAAACGGCTGATATAGTCAATTCTGAGCAATAATTTACAGCAAACAATAAGGCCTAAGTACTTTTACGACTTAGTTTGCTGTTCAGTTGAATGAATTACGTGCGTTTGTCTATAAATTATTTGAAGGGAAAATTATAATAAGGTCCCATCCAAAAGAATTAAATGCAAAAAAGTCTCTTAAAATCATTAAATTATTTTGAAGTTTTAAGGGACCTCGTTACAAAAAATTCTATTTGTTTAATTGCCAAATTATTTTTTTTTTAAGTTTGCATTGACAACTTAAGATGTAACGATTACCAACTGTCACGGCAGGTATTGACAATATATTTTCTCAGCACATCACAAAATGTAATGTATTTGCCAATACCTGCCGTGATAGTTGTTAATCCTCATATCTTAAGTTGTCAACAACCGTTTTTTCAGTTGTCAATGCAAACTTAAAAAACAAAAAAAGGTAATTTGATAATTAAACAAATGAATTCTCTTGCTAAAAAGTTTCTTGAGACTTCAGAATAATTTAATAATTTCAAAAGACTTTTTGGTATTTAATTCTCTTAGGTGGGACTTTGTTGTATTTTTCCATTATTTTTTAAACGTGTCTCCCACTCAAGTTTGATAAGTTATTATCTCTGGAACGGTTCATGCTTGTCTCCATCGACCGAAACCGGTTGAAAATCGAAGAAATATATGACTTGGTTTTGAAAATTGGAAGCATTTCCACGTAACGACAAGTAGTCCAGACTGATGGATGCTATTGAATTAATTAAAATGCATGATGCATCATAACCCACGTAATCTCAGAATCACTTATCATTCATCCAGT